AAATCATCAGGCGACTGTCCGGCCTCAGAAACCACACTCTGCGAGGTATTCTCCGAATTCTTGCTTAGGTTATTCTTGATAGGATCTTGGTGGTTTGTTTTGGTAGCGGTTTGATTAGCCGTTTTTTCTGCGTAGGTAGGGTGATGTGCTTTCGTACTATTATTATCTTCTATAGAAACATCAGCGGATGCACTATTTGGGTTCACTTCTATAGGATTTACGGAAGCATTCCCGTTTAACTCATTAAACTGATTATTGTATTCTTCACGATTAATTGGCCTTGGTTCGGTAGTGCTCCCATTGTTCGTTCGAGGATTAGTCGATTCTTGTATGACAAAAGAATTATCAACACCAGCACTGTCGGCATCTACATAATCAGTAAGCTCGTACGCAAGGTTGCTTTGGCAAAGCGAAAATATCAGAATCAGTCTTGTTTTTGTTCACCAAATCTTGTAACTGAGAAGTTATATACGAGATAGAGGCCGATAGAGACTGGATTGCTTCGCCATTGATTTGTTGACCCAGTTTTAGACCTTCAATATCCGTATGCACATCATCACATAATTCATTTGATAGTTGAGTGTGGGCTGAGGCAGATACTTGTGAATTATTTGCATGATAATTACAAATCCGTTTACATAACTCTCTCATGATTTCGGTCGCATTTTCTCCATTGATGGAAAGCAATCCCTTATTCTTTCTCCATAGTATAGTTGATGTATCACAACTAAACAACTTCCTATCACCTCCAGGCTGTTCCCAAGTTCCTTTGAGTTGTAAATTTTTACTTACAAACTGTTTTAGAGACTCATAAGTACCTGACCATGTAATGCATAGCTTATCGCTTAAGCTGGTTGCCATATTGTTCATTGTACAAATGAATAAACAACTTTCAAGGTCGTAAATAATACGGTGGTCGTAAATAATACGGCTTAATGGCGATAGCTTTCTTTCTATATTTGATACAAACTATGACTTTCGCCCGTTTTGCGGACAAGGTTACAATACATAAGCAACGATAATTTTATGCTAAATAGATAAAGCACAACACAAACTTGATAGTCATAACTTGATATACCTACATTAACACGAATATTCAAAATATATTTAAATAAATACGCACAGTTACGGAATAAATTAACATAAAACGCAAAATATTTACTTTGTTTAGCCATCTAGACAACAAATCAAGTTAGATTCGTTTAGTACAACATGCTATGTACAACATTAAACCAAAATGGCAATTGGGGAAAGCGATTTTATGAGTCCGCACAATGGGTTTCCATTTAACCTGTGTTTATTGACGTTTAAGGCTATATAACTGCTCATGTGAAGAACGAATAATAAAATAAAAATCGGTAAAAAATTCACAAGGTCAAAATCTATAACATTAAGCCATGACAGGTTAAACCTAACCTTGTTTTCCTTTTAAAAATCGCGCCCAACTTGGTATACCCATATTTCGACCTTGGCTGAAACTTGACCCATGCATTAATCTACCTGAGCTTGCGCGGCCAAAAGCTTGAACCTATAAGCGCGCGAAAAAAACAAACAAACAATGGCCTACAGCAGATTTGCTTCGCTGAATGAAAGCGAACTCTCCAAATTATTGGCAGATAAGGATAGTGAAAGCACGAAAAAATCCACAAAGGGGTAAATAGAAGTAGAAATAGAATATTTAGCTGACCTTTGACTTTGTGCAAGGTGTTTGATACTCAAATTGTACTTTTCCTACCTCATGAACAGGAATCGTTTTACACCTTTCTCATGTCTTTAAATGTATAATAAAACAATTATTGGATTCGGCTTTCGCATGATATCAAGAATTATTCAGACCTCGGTCTATGTTATCCGCCTCAGCTTCGCTTCGGCAGAGAACAGCCTGGTTAAACGAGCTGATCGAAATTGCATCACAATAATTTGCATGAGCAGTTTGAGCTCGGTCTGAGTTTAGTCAGAGCTACAGTATATTTATAGTCAAAATAGGTTGAAATATCAGCCCCAGTGAAATTATCACGAAATAGAGTGGCGCGAAATAGGAGAATAATAATTTATTATGAGAATAAGCCTTTTACACTTCTTTGAAGCATTAAGATGCAGATTAGTCTTGACTTTTGTGAGACTGTGGTTACATGTATATAGTATATTTAAAGATGAAACAAACACTCAAAATAAAGCCATTAAACAGTTGGTTTTCAGCCTGGGCAGCTCAAACTTAGCTGAATAATCATGTAAGCACCTGTCTTTATTGCTATATATATATATAAGAGATGTTTACATATTTTTCCTCTGAAAATGTTTCATAGCACCGATAACATGGCATTCTTACAAAATGTACCTGTGCTTGAGCAAAGGTTTGAAATGAAATATGTACCAGATATACATATCATATCCGGACCAGACATTAAGATAATCTTACTTTCCAGTATATTAGCAGATACCGGATTTGTCCTTTCAACTTTGTGAGCAAGGCTTTTGCAATGCCATGTTTAGAGTGAAGTTCTTTCCTATGATTTCAAGTATCTTTTCAAATCAAAGTATTATAGACACCCTCATTTTATAACCAATTAAAATAATTATTTATTTTAAATGAAAGTATAAATCTTATATCAACATTATCAGTTATTTGGCCAGATATTGTCCAACATATCTGACATACTGTACTGAAATCTAGCCGAATAGCAAAATGTTCTATCTCGTGCAGCCCTAGAAATGACAAGGTGCCTAATTGTGACAAATTGTTATATCTAGCAACCGGGTATTTCTCAAAGGTAGCCCTTGTTGTGACGAGATGAAAATTTATAAAAGACTATTGTTTGATAAAAATAATGAGTCAGGCCATTTAAGGTTTTTGAGTAATAGTAGCATTATCTACAAATTAACTTAGACTGTAGAGTAATCCCAATTTTTATTTTGTAGCCAATTACTCACCACAGAAAATTACAAATTGGCACGGCAAGGCATGTTCAAGGGGAAACCTGGCATTGTGTACACAGACCCCGAGACACACCGTACAGCAAGAACTAGTTTAATTTATGTGCTTCAGTTACTTCACATTGTAAGTCATTGTGCACAGCTTTATAATTGTGTGTTAATATTTCTCTGCCATTACAATATAGTGATGTGGCTGTGTTCTTATTCAACTGTGTTAAACCATCGAGTTGCACTGTGCCCTATTATTTTACTCTGGCTAACACCAGACTATTTTACTCTGTCTAATGCCAGACAATTTTACTCATCAATGGGAGAGCACTGACGCTTAATAGGTATAACTGTCCTATCTGCCCATGTGTCTAGTTAAACCATCGAGTGGCATTGTGCCCTTTAATGATTATGTTACTCTGTCTAATGCCAGATTATTTCACTATGTCTAATAGACTATTACTCATTGATTACAGTGATTAAAGTTTTTGAAGAAAGAATTGTTTAGTATCCGTACATGGATTAATAATGGTAATTGAACTGAGTGGAGTGCAATTTGGACTGAAATCAAACGAGTGATTGCAAAATCGCATGACCGCAAAGCGGGAGCGCGATTTGTAATCACAAATTTGATTTCGGTCCAAAATTGCACGATACGAAGTTCAATTTCCACTTTACTATATTCATTTTGAAATATTAATTAATTATTTTTGTGAATCGGAAATGCTTTTGTTTGCAAAAGACACACCTCCGGTACCTCCCATGTAGCATGGCAACAATAAGCGAACAAGATGAACAATAGTTATTATAGTTGCAAAAATGGTTAAAATGTTAAAGAAATGAAGACATTTATTAAGAATAAGAGACAACACAAGTGAGTTCAAACATATTGTAGATTTTACGAGTGATTTGAAAGAGTTTTGGTGCAGTTTTGTGCATTTAAAATTGGAAATACGATAGGCGAATTTACCTTTGACACTTTGTTTTGAGCTTTGTTTTCCCTGACGCTTTATAAAATTTGTTTTTGTTGGAATTTTTGCCTGTTTACTATTTGAGAAATTTCAAAAAAATTTAAATTCTTTGATAGTTTACTGTAGCTATCCATATTTGTTTGTTTTATGTGCCAAAAATTGCTTAGGCACTCAAGGGTAATCAAGTAAATTTTTTGTTTTTGCTCATTTTCCATATCACATATTTTTCTTAAAATTGATTGGCTGTTTGAATCCTATGATTAAATATGATTGGTTGGTTGAAGTCAGCACTCAAATGTGATTGGTTGAAAGAAGGTGCGATTTCAGCAAGAATCGCACTGCTAGGAGTGCGATTCTTGCTGAAATCACACTCCTGTGAACCAATCACAATCAGATTGCAGGAAACACCATTGATTTCAAAATGAATATAATAAAACGATTAACATAGATTAAGATACTTAATCTATATAGAACTTAATCTACAGTGTATATGTGTATTATAGAACTTAACTATATATGTGTATTTCAATCCGTATAGAAATTTATTCTATGTTTGATCTTTTTGTAGAGTTAGAAAACCGGTGTATCATGGCAGCTTTGACGTATGTCCTTGAGAAGAAAGAGCATACCTCAGGAGAACATTCCTTTAATTAAAGTTGTTCTTGTAAGTGAATTTTGTATATTTTATAACATCTAGATAGAAATTATGAAGTGATGTATATTTTGTAGTGTAACTACAGGAGAAGTACAATATTTAGACAAAAGTGTAAGTTGTGCATGAAATGCTTATGTCACTCAATTATATTCCTTGTTGCAGGATCATGATTCTGAAGTTGCTCCCAAAATATCAGGATGCTCAACCCCTTGTCTATTGGCCAGCGGACCTCTGGAAGAGATAAGTTCAATTTCATTGATTGCAGAGGAAATGGTTGTAAAAACTTCAGATACGATCCGTGCAATATTACCAACGCAGTGGCACGTTTGCTTGCAGAGTACTACGTTTTAACATGCAGTACCCAAAAGAGGCCAACAAGTCATAGTAAAAATATTTACATGTTTTAGTAACTTAGAACATGTTCTTTTGGGCAATAATTGCCATACTTTACCAATTGACGTGGAGAACTTCCTAAGCTAAATATAAATGAACACATTAAATAGAACAGTTTATGATAATATTGTATCACTACTTTAATGCATGTATTGTACTGTACATGCAGGATATATTGTCTCCAGGAGAGTTATAACTCTCACAATCATGGGCTATGTCTGTGAATGTTTCTATATAGTAGAACTCTAAACTATATATAGCTTACAAGCTAATAAATTGTGTGATAACCATTGTTTCTTGAAATAGAAGAAAGTTTCTTCTATATATGGAGAGCTTTTTACTTTCACAATATAATATGATGACCGCATGCTATCAAACTCTGCTCCACTTTACTGTTTTTCAATGGTCGCACACTGGAACTCAATTATCTCGTAGATTATTTTACTTATATATTATATATGACTTATGCATTCCTTAAGAAAAATACATGATTTTTATCAAAGTACTGAAATTGTTTAATATTTACTAATTGGATTTTGAGTCAAATATTGATTTTAACCTATCTGATTTTAACCTATTTGATTTTAACCTATTTGATTTTAACCTATTTGATTTTAACCTATATTTTTTAGGTTAAATCAACTGCATGTAACCTATTTTAAAGGGCTGGTTTAGACTCATGGCCTTTACCATTACTTATGGGTTGTTTCAACCATAAAGAATAGGTTATATTTGTATCAACCAATTCTTATAGGTTAAATTGACCAAATATTATTAGTTAAAATGACCAAATATTTATAAGTAAAAACAACCTTTTTTTATTTGGCAAAAACAACCTGTATCTCTGAGTAGATTTAACTGTTTAAATTTAGGTTGTTTTAACCTAAAAATAAATGTTAAAATAACATATTTTAAATAGGTACAATTAGCTATATTATAGGTTAAAATAACCCACTAGAAATGGTTTGTTTTAACCTATTCACTTTTAGTTATTTCTACCTATTTAAATAACTTATTTTAAACCGGTTGTCCTAGACCAACTCAAATAACCTATTTTTTTTGGTTATTTTAACCTATCAGTTTTTACAGTGTAGTCAAAACATCCCATTTGGCCAAATGACAGATTCACAACGTCTATTATCACTGTCGCTTCTGCTTGTAAACCCCCTCCACAATTTGAATCTCCTCGTCGCTTTTATCAGCCATAACTGCCAAGATGTATTTAGAAAATACTCGCAAAACAGGATTGCTAAAGATTGGCAGACGATGTGCTATATTTTTGAAGAAATTTGACCCAACCGAGTAATCGACGCTATAAGCCAAGTAATCGACATGTTATTCAGCAGGCCATACAGCAGCTTCGTCTCAGATTTCAAATTTCAACCTGCGAACGGGCATACTTATTACGGGCTTTATGGTCTGCGGAGGAGGTAGTGCACGATGGCAATATATCTGCATTTGCAGATACAAAAAGGGTAATTAATCAATAAAGCGGAGACACTGAAATTATAAGCATTTTCCATTATACGCAACAATCAGCTTTTAAACAATTAAAAGCAAACAATACATCAATACTAAAAAAAATTTACCTTTATTAACATAAGCGTATTTGCTCTCTTTTTTCGCAATTCTTTCACTTTTTTCTCTAAAAGCTTGCAAAAATAAAATATATTTGCAAGAAATCAAGAAATGTTTCTATTTCGCTTTAATGGAAATTTGAAATTGGATTAATCAGTGTTCGCTATTCATGACATTTTAAATTCTATTTCAGAACCATCCTCAAAGATACGAAAAACTAGCAGTAACCCACGCCAGCAATCATTAATGAACTTTAAACTTCGTTACATAAAGTCTACCTCGGTCTGCTTCACGTCAGTCCGGTTCTATCTATCTATTAATAAAGTCTACCTCGGTCTGCTTCACGTCAGTCCGGTTCTATCTATATATTCATAATGTAACCAGTCACTGAAAAGCCCTGTTAGGGAGTGTGCTGTGAAATATCTGTATCTGTATTTCCTTTCCCCGAAAGTAAATAAGCGGGTGGAATTAGTGCCCTTGCTCCGGGCTTACGACCGGAACGGCACTTCGCGCCGTTGGCTCGGGATGAAGTGTGTATCCGCATTTACCTGCTCTTAGAATATGCTTTCTACTTTAGTTAGACTTAAAGACTTAAAGTACAAAACTGAGAGGTTTTTCTTCTAGACGAGTTTTTACTGTATCGACCATGCAGATTCCCCAAATCTTAAATATTTACTTATAAATCACAAACGTACCTGCTGCCACTATACCTCCCACTACGTCAGTGTGGCCAATCAAAGTAGCTTCAATATTTAAAGTATCAGCTTTCCATAACTTGATAGTGTGGTCATTGGATGTAGTAACAATGCGCAGTCCATCTTTAGTAGTACACAAACCCATGAGCCACTTATCATGTGCAGGAATGATATCCAATCGTTCACCTCTGGCCACATCCCACACTCTTAGTTTTCCTAGTACACATGGTAAGAATTAGTCAGGTTGTCGTCTCAGACCGTTCATTGATTATGTTTGACCTCAAATACAGTTTTTGGTATTTGTAATATTTGGGTCATTTGAAGAAGAAATGTAATATATTAGAAAGTTTAAGCATCGCGTTATACGTCAAGCGGCAAACGCCAGGAAAAAATATACAAAAAATATAAAAATAAATTAAATCATATGATAAAAGTGGCAAAAAAGAAATATTATGAAGAACAGTTAATAAATTATAAACATGATACAAGGTATTATGGAAAACATTAGATGAAATTATGAACCGAAATAAGACAAATAGGATGTTACCAAAAGAATTTAATGGAAATAGCCCTGGAGAAAAGATTACTGATCCAAACACAGTAGCAAATAGATTCAATGACTATTTTGTAAATATTGGCCCAGGACTAGCAAAAAAACTCCCGAATTCCAAAACAACCTTTGATAAATATCTCACTAATAGCTGTAAAAATAGCTTCTTTATTAATCCAATAACTAAATATGAATTAGAAAATGAGATAAAAAATTTGAATGCCAAAAAAAGCCCTGGCTATGATGGTATAAGCTAGTACAGGTAATCAAAGCGATTGCTACAGAAATTTCTGAACCACTTTCACACATATTTAACTTGACTTCTCTTTCTGGAACTATTCCTGATGATCTAAAAATAGCTCTAGTTACCCCTATATTCAAAGCAAACGAAAACAATGAATTTAAGAATTATCGGCCCATATCTGTTCTTACTTGTTTTTCTAAATTGTTAGAAAAGCTTATGTATAAGAGATTTATTAACCACATAGAATAAAATAACATAACACAGCATCAATATGGTTTTAGGGAAAATAGATCCACTGAGCTTGCAATCATAGAACTTGTTGACAAGAGTTACTAAAGCAATCGATAGAGGAGAATACACGATAGGTATTTTCCTCGACTTGTCAAAAGCCTTTGACACAATTGATCACAAGATATTGAGTCAAAAACTTGATCACTATGGCATACGGGGAATAACTCAATTATGGTTTCAAGATTACTTAAAGAATAGAAAACAAATTGTTAAATACAACCAAATTAAATTAAATCAAAAGAAATGGTAATTAAGAGTGGTATTCCACAGAGGTCAATTCTTGGACCAATTCTATTTCTGCTTTACATAAATGATATTGAAATTGCAGCAAATTAATTTCATTTATATTATTTGCAGATGCCACTAATATATTTTATAGTAACAAGTGTCTAAAGACACTTAGTAATATTATACAAACAGAAATTGATAAAGTTGCTGAATGGTTAAATGTGAATAAATTATCTCTAAATACTACAAAAACAAAAATAATTTTATTCAGATCTTCAAATAAAAAACCAAGTCAAACCTTTAAAATTAACATAAATGGTAAAAATATTCAACAAGCTAAAAGTACAACCTTCCTTGGTATTATCATTGACGAATGTTTGACCTGGAAAGATCATATAGCTAAGGTAACAAAGAAAATAATTAGAGCTGCTGGTATGATAGCTAAAATACGACATTTCACAAATCGAAATACTCTAAAACTTATATATTATGCATTAATTTATCCATATTTGATATACGACAACTTAACATGGGGTAATACCTATAAAAGTCGAATCCCAAAAATAATGAACATACAAAAAAAATTGTACGTCTAATGACTTTCAAGTCTTATTTAGAGCACACTGAACCAATTTTCAAAGATTTAAATATCCTAGACATTTTCAAAATCAATGACTATTTAACTGCCTTATTTATGTTTCGATACCACCACCTTAACAATTTACCAGATTTCTTTAAAAATTATTTTGTAACAAACAACCGTACCAAATTCATGAACATAACACGAGAAATGCATCAAAACTTTACAAATGTTATAAAAGAACAAATTATGTAAAACACACTCTCTCAAATAAAGGAGTTGATATATGGAATTCGTTAGAAACAAAACTTAATGAAGTAAACTCCTGTAACACCTTTAAAAAGAAAATTAAACAACATTTTTTGCTATACACAATTACCAATATATAAAACATACTTCTCTAATGTATATAATGACATATACTTTAGTCTATTGTAGCCCAGTCATTGACATTGTAAAATTAAATGCATCTACAACATTACTATTAATTTACATAATACGAACATTCCCACTTCTTTTTCTCTCTTGTAAATATAGTATATATACTTCAAAACTTTCTGACTTTACATATTATGTATTGATTGACGGTAAATAATCGATTATGCGATAAAGCGAACAGTAACTAGAGACCTAAAATAAAAAGTCTATGAAGATTTCTAGTAGGTCTCTGGCCCAAAATCTTCAAATTATTGTAATATATTTTAAATACTTTTTTATACACGGGAAAATAAATTTAAAAAAAAAGAAAAAATTTACGGTATCAGACAAAAAGAAGTAAATAAACTTGCTGTTTTATAACTGAAATACATAATTATTCTTTCAACGCACGAAAAAAATATGAAAAAAACACTTTCACAAAAATTTTGCGAAGAAAGTTTGAACCTGCCGTTTGTCGTTCCCGCAAACGTGAAGCTTAACTCCCTATTCCTCTATCCAAGCTCGGGGCGAGGGTACTAATTCCGCTGGTCTAATGATACCCGGGTATGTAAAAACATGGCGAAGTTCAAAGTTGTCCTCCATTTCGTTTATGTCATGGACGGTTTTTGTCGTCATGCGCATGTGTGAGTTCAAGCTCTGGCTATTAATAATTGTTTTTCATTTTAAAAGCAAGTATTTTGCTGTTTTACCATAGGTAGCCCAACAATCCGCACGCCGTGACGTATTATGTAGTAGTAAATATCATAAGGTTGGCAAGAAAATAATATTATGCACGGCTTAAAGAATTTGAAAAAATCAACATCCCTTGAACAAAAATACGCTTAAACATAACAGTCCCTACTTGTAGGATAGTTTTACTAAATATGTACAACGTTTGTTTGCAATTGCAACAACACGAGCTTATAAAACCAAAAAATACGAAAAGTTTCTTTGAATTTAACGTGTCTCGATGCGGGATGTCTGTTGCTTTGAGAAAATCGCCGTTTCAAAACACGAATACGCGTTCCTATTGGCTATCAAAACAGTTTACAGGGAGGAGTTTACCATTTGGTTGCTAGCAAAAATGCTTTCGAGTTAGTTCAAAATATGGAATTTATTTCGAGTGTTGAAGAGAATATTACTCACGAGTGAACAACATTCTCTTCAACACGAGAAATAAATTCCATACTTCCAAGCAACCATGTAATATTGTGTTTATTTTACAAAAAAATTATTATTATAAACAAACGACAATTCATATACTGAAACTGAAAGCAAATATGCAATATCAGAAGCATATCAAAGTGCAGAAAAACAATAAAAGATCTGTGGCAATGCGTTTTACAGCAAGTTCTCTAAATGGTCAAACATATTTCTTACGCGCTTTTTGATTGGCTTGCAAAAATGATATTTTCACACGTAAAAATATTGTATTTTTTACGTGTGTTTAAATACGATTTTTCTCAGGGCCAGTGGCCAAAAACTCTATAATATATAACACTTATGTCTATTATAATAAATTGCTATATGTAACTTGTAATAAATTCCATGCATCCGAATGTACTAGTTTATCGGCGTACCGACGTATAGTTACCTGTACAGTATGCCTTACATATACTTTATATGTAACTATACGTTAGTTCGCCGATAGTGCAATCGGATGCAAGCGATTTAATATAAGCTACCTATAGCAATATATTTCGCTTATTTGTGATTATTTTTGTTAATTTTAGAATTTCATTGCAGTTTTAATTTAAATTCAGTCGTCTAGTGGGCTGGCTAAGGTATTATTACGGTATTGAACTCATTTCAACAACATAAAAACAACATCTACAGTTTAAACTGCAGCTCAAAATGTTTTATTAAAATAATATGCCATGAGTAGGATAAAGGTCTATTAAAGACAGACTATATGGAAAATGAGAAGACCAAAATAATTTCCTTAAATGGTGATTTTTTATGCTTGTGGTAAGTTCAATCACTTTTTATTTTAATATTTTTATGTCTTGTTTTGTTTTTTAATTATGACCACTCTGATACCGGCCAAGTATAGTCTACAGCAGTGGTGCCTAAATTACTTCGAATTTGTACTTGAGTAAAAGTAAAAGTAATTAACAATTAAACGACTTGAGTAAGAGTAAAAAGTACTGAAGGCAAAACGTACTTAAGAAAAAGTACAAAGTATCTTTAAAAAATACTTGAAGTAAAGAGTAAAAGTAGTATTGTTTGAAGCGTGCAAAGGGGGGGGGGGGACTTCTCCAATGAATTTACATACGAAAGACATATGAAACAGCCCTATAATGTACAATATTTCACAGCATGGTCTACTTTTCTGACCCCATTGAAGATATAAGAATCCCACTAAATCAATAATGCTTATAAGTAAGCCACAAAAGAGAGATCCCACAGACGCATGTAGAGGTCCTATTAGGCCTACCTATCCAAAATTAAAATAAATCAGGAATACATCACGTAAAATTAAACAAAAGTTAAAAGGTAACGAAATACTTTGCCGCAAAATAAAAATAACGTAGCAAAACGTTACTTCTTAAAATAACTTTGTTCCAAGTAAAAGTACTACAGAAAAAGTTTACTTGTTACATGCTGATTTCTCAAAAATAATACTCAAGTACCGTAACAAAGTACGTTTAGTTCGTTTCTTGATGCCACTGGTCTACAGACTTAGAAACTGCAAAAATTTTTCAAAAAACGCATATTCTCGCTGCATTTGTGTCAAAACTCAGCATGCAGCAGCTCATTTTCACGTCTTCTCGTCTGGTTATTTTCATATATAGTCGCAGGCAATCGAGCAGCATCAATAAACGAATTAATATATTGTACAAGAAAGTTTTAAAAAACATTCCCGCTATAGGCGCTACATACAAAATTAAAAAATTATTTTTTTGAAATGAGTTCAATACTGCATGTAGCTAAACTACAACTTATACATGCAGAAAACTCACCAGTATTTGTTCGATGATGAGCTTTTTTGCAAATCGATTTATAATATATTAATGTTTTGAAAAGTCGCCATTGCAGTTAATTAAACTGGCGATCAAACATTGCCGCTGTTACAGTGATTTGTGTTACCCCGTGAAATCTGTTACCACTCACATAAAATCCCTCTATACGATAACCGGAACTTAATGCTTATCGCAGTATCGGAAGAATTTTCCTTGTTTTGATCAATGAACTATATTTATAGTTCAATGGTTTTAATAAAATTAAGCGCAGGGCTTTTGTGCAAATTTTCGATCATTAATGAAAATCTAAGTATCTAACTAAACATTGATGAAAATTTTAGAATTTATATAAGTATTTCGTATCATTTCAAACAAAACTGATTGAAACTAGTATATATACAGTGAGTAATTTACCATGGGTCTTGATGTCGATTTCGTGTCTGTAAAATAAGGTGTATTTGATTGATTGATTGATTGATTGATTGACATCTTTATTTAAAACACGAGGTCCATTTCACAGGTTATGTTATGTGCTCTTCAATGGAGACGTGGTCCTATACTAGTAGACTAATTACTAATAAAAAGGTATCAAACTATTTACAAAAGTAACAAACTACACATGCAAAGAAACTAACATAAAAGAAATTTTTTTTTTTTTTTTTTTTTCAACTTTCCCGGCCTACCACCGATGTAACTAGTAGTAGTACTTTATTTATCCACGCTGACCCCGTCAACCGTAGCTGATTTCCACGGGGGGCGTGTGATAAGATATTTTAGATCTAAACTCAGCGAGATATTGAACTCTGGTGAGTTCGACGGCTATGACATTCCATAGGGTAGCTCCTCTATAGGAAAAACTTTTCTTCAAGGATTCCGTTAAGGGTCTTGGTACAAAAAGTTTATGAATAGATCCACGCAAACTATGTTCGTGTATCATTGACGTGGAAGTAAATTTTCCAGACAAGTAACTAGGAACCATATTATTACCAGTTTTGTACATAAACGTTTTGAACTGTTGGGTACGTCTAGTTTCAAGGTTGGTCCAATTCAATGATGTTAAAATATCTGATGACCGGATGTTATAATCAGATTCAGTAATAATTCTTGCAGCCCTATTCTGTAATCGCTGTAACTTTTGTGCAAGACCCTTACCTAAGCTATCCCAGACAATACTACAATAATCAAGGTATGGCTGTGCTAAAGAGTTATAGATCATGACAAGAGTTGACTGTGGGAGCAATGGTTTTAGTATTCGTAGAACTCCGATCGCCTTGGAGACTTTGGAGATTATAGTAGAAACATAATGCTCGCCTGTCAAACTCTCGTCTAGTTTTAAACCTAAACACTTATAAGATCTAACTCTTTCAATTTTGTTTCCGGAGATAGCAATATTAGGTTCTTCAGGAATAGTACTTGATTTTTGCCTGGATGCCATAAACACACATTTAGTTTTAATCTCATTCAGGCTTAGTTTATTCAGGTTAAGCAGTTTTGGAGAGTTTTAAAGGAGATTGGCAACAAAAATTGCTTCATCTATCTTATTGCTTCATCTGAAAGAGCATGAAAAAATAAGCCGATTGGCCGTTTAATGCTCTATTCTATCTCATCTAGTTCCGAAGTTATACGCAAAAATGTGAAAATATAAATTGCTGATTCAGCACAACGTGTGACGTCATTAGCTGGGTAAGTATGTTTATTGAATACTACACTGAAGCATAGCTCAGTTATTATGGGCCCAAATCAAATGAAATTTTGCATACTGATTGTACATGATAAGACGCATGGAAAAACACTTCTAATTTTGTTGCCAAGGTAACAATGTCGTTTCCAGGCCCCTTGCGCCAATTTTATGAAACAGCTTTATTCAACGTACTGATAAGAATAAAATAATATCAGAAGTATGTGTATGATACCTATGCATGCCAAAAGTTTACTTGCATGATAATAATTCGAAAATGACATACACATAGATAAATGCAACTAGTTATTCAAAATCAGTGTAAGAGGCCTGGGAACGACTGTGTTGCCTTGACAACGAAATTAGAAGTATTTTCCCATGCATCTCATCATGTACTATCTGTATGCAAAATTTCATTTGATTTGAGCCAATAATAACTCAGCTATGCTTTAGTTTACTATTCAATAAACATACTTACCCAGCTTATGACGTCACAGAATGTGCTGAATCAGCAATTTATATTTTGCACATTTTTGCGTATAACTTCGGAACCAGATGAGATAGAATAGAGCAGTAAACGGCCAATCGGCCTATTTTTTCATGCTCCTTCAGATGAAGCAATAAAATCAATAAAATTTTTTGTTGCCAATACCCTTTAAATTAAGGTCGTCATTTAGAACAGAAATCAACTTGTCAGGGTTGCTGTCCGCAAAAGTCAAGTTGGTATCATCAGCGAATAAACGCCCATCTGATACCAATTACTGTTAGGTAGGTCGTTTATATATATTAAAAGCAGTGGTGGACCTAAGATGGTCCCCTGAGGAACTCCACATGTTACTTTACGAGTATCAGATCGTATGTTGTTAATAACTGTTATTTGAGTACGATCAGAAAGATAGTTTCTAAAAAGATCAATCGTTTCTTTGTTGAAACCGTAACAAGTTAACTTCTGTAGTAAAATGTTATGATCAATGGTATCAAAAGCCTTTTTTAAATCAATGAATAAGACAGCATTTATTAACCCACTGTCCATGTTAGTGTACCATTTATCAGTGACATCAAGCATAGCTGTTAACGTTGAGTGAAGAAGTCTAAATCCTGACTGTATGTCAGATAAAAGGTTGTTTTTGTTTAAAAAGGCATATGCTTGGTCAAAGAGAACTTTTTCAAAATTTTTTGAAACTACTGGAAGGACTGAAATAGGCCTATAATTATTCAAATCTAGTTTTGAATCATGTTTATAAATTGCTGATACGCTGGCACACTTCCAGTCAGCGGGAATAATTCCCTTGCGAATTACTAGATTAATCATGTGAGTAAGTGAAACCACAGTAGTGAAATTAATTAGTTTTAATAAACGAACAGGAATGTTATCAAGACCGCTAGCCTTAGAAGTCGATAATTTATAAATTAGTCCATCTATTTGAGATGGGGTAACTTCATGTAATTCAAAGACTTCATTACACTGTGGAATGTTATAAGAAGCCGCACCAGTTGTTGGAATTTGCGCTGCTAATTTAGGTCCGATTTCAGTAATGTGCTTATTAAAAACATTGCTAATAGTTACTGGGTCAGTAATTTCGATTTCATCTTGCAAGATTTTTGGTATAGTAGTTGAATTTTTAGATTTAGAAAGAAGACTGTTGATACCATTCCAAGTTTCTTTAGTTCGACCTACCTTGAGTTGAAACAAAGAATTATAATATTGCTTTTTACTATCTCTAATATTATAGTTAACTAGATTTTTAGCTGTTTTAAAATTGACCCAATCATTTTCATCATTAGTATAAACTGCTTTACGCTTTACCAGATAAAAGACTGAAAATTACTATAAGGAACAAACAGACTAATTCAATTTCCTAATTTTTGAAAATTTTTAGCAAACAAATTCAAAATAATGATTTTATATATTAAATATTCAGATAGATATACGCCCGAACACTTTTCAGACGGTTGCCATGTTGGATATCAAGGGAAATTCTGCCGCCTTCCGTTACGGTGATAGGCATTAAGTTCCGGATATCATAGACGAAATTTATCTGAGGGATAACAGATTTCACAGGGTAACACAAATCACTGTGACACCGCCACTTGATACTTTAACAGACAAATGTTGACAAATAATCCACAAATCGCCGGGCGACATAATCGGCTATAAACATCGTGCGCTACTGCCATAATCTTTTTTATTCGAACTAACTCAAAAGCATTTTTGCTAGCCGACAAATTGTAAATTCCCCCCCCCCCATAGAAATATAGACAAAGAATGCGTGCTCCTATCACTTCTCAGTAAAAAATTTGTCTCCACAAAATGGCGGATTTATAAGGGCATTTTGGCTAATCCCAGACTCCTGCGGCAAGGAATTTCGCGCGGTTGCAAAAGTGCGAATTGTTTCTTTCAACAAAGTTTGCAAAAACAATTATATCGAGACTTGAAGTAGAAAAAAAGCTTTTTTCAAGGAGAAAAACCCATTCCTGTGGGTTTTTTTACAAAAAGCAATAGTTTGGACAGAATATATACAGTAATCGTCGTTTGAAAATACTTTTCAACGTTGTTGTGCAAGCCAAAACAAAACACGAAAAATCAAGCAAACTCAAACTCAACAGGTATGTTTTAAAATATATATTTCAACCGTTTTATAATATAATTAGAGTTCAATAATCTTTTTAAATTTACACAACTACTTTTCCTTTTTTTCTATTCATTGCTTGAGCTTGAGGCAACGCTTTTGAAACCATATGTTTTCGACGATTATTTAGGCGATTTACACTCTATCGACAACTAAATATAAACATGAAAACATTTTGTTTAGATTGAAGAAAAACGAAACCCGACGGAGAATCAACTATCATTTCGTAATTTCATAAAATATTAGCAAAACAGATACGTTCAGAGCATGCAAAAATGTTTTATGAGTAAATCATATATTTTAATTGTATCCGCAAAACTGCTATGTTTTTACAAGGCTGCACGATTTTCACCGTTTTGGCAACGACACATTTGCTTTGAGCCTTTAAAGAACTTAATATTTCTAATTGTATCCCCAAATTACAAATACAAAACGTTTTGACGATGAAAACTTTATAGTTTTTGCTTTTTTATAGTTTGTAGTTTTGCACTCTTACTCAAATTCAACATAGCGGATTTATAAGGGCATTTTTTTTTTCAGTTTGGACACCGGTCATGTGACCAAGCACGCATTCTAGGTCTAATAATTCGTTGTCCCCCTCCCCCGTAAGCTATTGTGTCAGATTTCTGATAGCGAATACGATCACGTATACGTGTTTTGAAACGGAGATTTTGTCCGAAAAACGGCAAATTCAAAGAAATTTTTCGTATTTTGTCGTCTTATAAACTCGTTTTGTTGCAAACAACCGTTGTACATATTTAGTAAAACTATCCAACACGTATAGGGGCTGCTAGCCCTTACAAAAATTTCACATTAAAGTTCATATATGAAATTGGAATTTCGTATATGAAATGAAGATTTTCATATATGAAATAAAGATTTTCATATATGAAATTAGAATTTCACATGTGAAAAGGTAATTTCATATATGAAATTTCAGTTTCATACGTGAAATTCTCTTTTTCACATATTAAATTTCCATATATGAAAAACAGGTCATATATGAAATTTTAATTTCATATATGAAAAACTAAATTTCATATATGAAATCCATTTCACATGTGAAATTTGGTAATTTCATATAAGAATTTTCATATATGAAAATCAAGTCATGTATGAAGTTATACAATCCACATATGGAAAACTAAATTTCATATTTTAAATCCGTTTCACATGTGAAATTTGGTAATTTCTTATAAGAATCTTCATATATGAAAATCAAGTCATATATGAAGTTATATACAATTTACATATGAAAAAAGAAATTTCATATATGAAATCCATTTCACATGTGAAAGTTGGTAATTTCATATAAGAGTTTTCACATATGAAAATCAAGTCATATATGAAGTTATACAATTCACATATGGAAAACTAAATTTCATATTTTAAATCCGTTTCACATGTGAAATTTGGTAGCTAATTTCATATAAGAATTTTCATATATGAAAATCAAGTCATATATGAAGTTATACACAATTTACATATGAAAAAAGAAATTTCATATATGAAATCCATTTCATATGTGAATGTTGGTAATTTCATATGTGAATTTTCATATATGAAAATCAAGTCATATATTTCTTATAAGTAATAGCATGGCTTGAGGGAGATTAGTGATTAAATGGCCCCGTAACCCGAGGCAGGTTTGCGGAATTCCCGAGGGCGAAGCCCGAGGGAATTCCGCAAACATGCCGAGGGTAAGGGGTTATTTAATCACTAATCTCCCGAAAAGCCATGCTATTAGTTTGTAATAGCATAGTTGCGCTCCCATTTAAAAATGGACAAACATGCCCTACTTGGAATCAGCGTATTTAAGCTAAAACATTTGCTTCATTGCTTGTGGGATGTAAAAGCTTGTTGCACATGCGCACTTTTTACGCTTTAATCGGTTACGCATGCGCAATCTATCATTTAACGTACCACAACAAAAACGCTAAATATATTAGTATAAATTTGGAGACTGCATGTGCGTAATTTAAATGATGCGGCAACTCAGGGATCGGATGATAGACTATTGACGGCTCTGAGCTAACTGTTGCTGTTCCTTGCACGATTATGTGCGTGAGGCACTTGCCTAATGCGTAGTCGTCAGGGAGACAAAGGTGTGACCCTTGGTAACGGGCGATTAGTTCTAATCGCCCGCTCTAGCGGGCGAT